CTCTGCAACTCTCATTGCATACTCCTACGATAAAAATAATGCCCTAAAATATAATACTTTTAGACTATTCTCTCCCCCATAGACTTCAATGCCGTTAACTCTTACATTACTATGACCAGTATGCAGACAGATGGTGAGGCAACCACTATGAAGGTCAACTCATGACCTCAGTGACCTCACAAACTATAATTGTTGGTGGTGGTGCTATTGAGCTGACTATGACTCACAGTGACCCTATGAACAAGAGATCTGAACTTTGTCCTATCCTGTGCCATCCTCATGATCTCCATGGACCCTGAGTCCACTGGTTACTTTCTCTGTGTCAATCCCATTTTCATAACCTCCAATATGCTGGAGGCCACTGTTACAGTCACTGAGTCAATTCATCTTGTTGAAGGTCTTCCTTTCCTTCACTGACCCTCAACTTTTCCAAGCATGGTGTTTTTTCCAAGGACTGGTTCCTCTTGACAACACCTCTAGAACTTGTGAGATGAAGTATCAACCATCTGGACCTCAAACGCCTGGTTGCCCTATGTATATGTAACTTACTTAGCTACTTTTTCTTCTGTCAGTAGAAGAAAGTTTAAAATAAATTGATGTCCAGACTCTCTGGGATGAACCCACCAACAGTATAATCCTTCCCCAGATAATTCTAACATGCAACCAAGGTTAAGACCACTGAGCTATAAATCACAGGCAAGGAAATAATTAATTCTGTCTAGGGAGGAGACTTCACAAAAGTCATGACATTTGAGCTGTGCCAGGAAGAATGAGCGGTATTTTGTCAAGCAGATGGAGCAGAGGAAAGGGTATTATCAAGCAAAAACGGAAGGTGGGTATTAAAAAAACGGAAGAAATAATTGGTGATGAAGGAAGGGCTGGGCATTCTGACCTGTTGCAAATGCCACAGCTAAAATAATACAGGCCATTAAAACAGCTATTAAGACAGTTTAAAAGTGAGAATGACCTGTATCTGCATTTTACAAGGGTGAGTCTGAAAGCTTTGCAGAAGGAAGTAGAAGGGAGGAAAAATGGGAAGTGAGCACAGTCATTAGTATATCTTTGTAAAAGCTCAGGCTCAAGATGGTATGATTCTAATTGTTATTGTTGTTGTTTTGTCAGTTGCTATCAAGTTGAGGTCGACTCATAGCGACTCTATGAACAAAAGACCTAATGCCTTTCCATAGCTATCATTGTTTCTCTAAGTTCATAGAATTTCCAGAGGCATGTGATTTACCAAGTGGATGCTACTCCTGCTTCCCAACCTGTTTTATAACTGGGAGCTCCACCAAACATGGTTCACAATGGGAAAGCATTCTGGAATTTGATACCCCAATGGAACAAAGTTCAGCATCATAATAAACCCAGGTTACCTCATATAACACATTGACAAAGAGTGATGTGCAAAGTGGAAGAATGTTCCTCCAGATAGAGCAGCAATAGTCTCATTTAGCAGTGGGTAAGTGCTGTTGAGTTGAATATGACTCTGAGTAAGCTTTGCACAAAAGGCTTGAACCTGTTGCATGATTAACATAATTTCTGTACATTTATAAGAGAGTTTGTAGAGTTTTCAGAGGCACCTAGTTTAAGAAGTGGATACCAGTCCTGCTTCCCACATGAATCAGTCTGTACGTAACAGGGAACCATTATGGTATTTGACACAACTATGGAATAGTGTTCAGCATCACAGCAACTCCAAGTTGTTCAGTACAGCAAATAGACAAATGACTGCTGTATCTTTTAAAGAATATTTTTTAAAGACTATTAAAAAATCGTTGATGAAAATGATGAGATATAATTCTAGACTTGAGAAAAACAAAAGGTGTGTTTTATGCTTTGGTGTTTTTGTTCTTTGTTTCTTTAGAACCTAGAATCAACAAAATTTTGACGAGTCTCAACTTACTCCCTTCAAGTCAGAACTGACTCAGTTGATTTTTCATTGGGTTTCTAAGACTGGGATGGGAGGAGATGTCCCATTTTCTCTCTTGGAGTTGCTAATGGATTTGAACCTCCAAATGACCTTTGAGGCAGCAGTAAAACTCCCTACAGACAATGCCAGCAGAGAAATGAGAAGCTGTTGAACATCATCTCAAAGTTCCTAACATGGTGACTGTTAGGTTTGGGAACAAAGGGCATGAATCACATTTTGTAGAAGACATAATGAATTCCATTTGGGCCTTTAAAACTTGAGGTACCACACGGTTTTCGCTTGGAGATGTGCAGCGATCTGAAAAATAGATTCCCAGCCCTCAAGGAAGAGGTTGTGCTCTTTCCTAAGGATGCAGGACCATTCAGAATGTAAGTGATAATAGAATTCATGGAAATGAGTAAAGTAACTAGGCAGAGAATGAAGAGGACTGAAAATCAAAGCCTAGGATAATATAACAGTTAAAGGGACAAGTGAGCCGGTGAAAGTTGTTAAAAGAGGCTGAGAACGTGCAGTCAATGAATTAAAGGGAGACCAGTTAAGAATTGTATCGAGGAAACAGCTTCAGTCAGGGTCCAACCTGGGGACAGAAACCATGTGGTAACTGAAGCAGGGGAAATTATTATAAAAAAATTCTTAAATAGGCAAGTAACTATGAAAAAAAATACTCCTGAGAGTGGTACAAATGCTTAGTCAGTGGTGAACTGAAAACTCAGCCATTGAAAATTCTAAGTAGTTATGCATCAACACTGAGTTGGTGGCAATCAGTAACTATATGGACAGACTCAGATTTCTGACATTCACACAGAAGCTCAGGGAGAGCACACAAGAACGGCCACACGAGAGAGCTCTGGTGGCCTAGTGGCAAGATGCTGCACTGCAATCCCAGAGGTACGCGCTTCAAATCCACCAGATGCTCTGCTGGAGAAGGAGGGGGCAATCTCCTCCTGTACCAGTCAGATCTGATTTGACAGTACACGTAAAAATAGTATAATAATAAAAAAAAAAAAAACCAAGGAGAAGTAAAACAAAAAAAAAAAATGGCCACACCCAGGAGGAGCCTTCAGAGCTTGCCGGGAAATGTGCCAGATTAAATACATACCCTCCCTGTGCAGGTAGGAGCTGAGTACTTGTCAAAATACAATCTAATCCAAAATAAAAGATGATCAACATTTTCAAATGCTTCAATGATGTCAAGTCATTGGGGGTCAGGGAAAAGAGTCTTGATTATTCTAGGAGTAAGCGATACATTACCTAAAGCATTTTGTGTTAACACAACAATGAATATTTTGTGGAGCAGAAAGGGAGAATAGCATGATTATTAAAGACTGAAAAAGAAGGAAAGTGTCAGCAGCTCACCTTTAGAGCTACAAAAAGCATCCTCAACCTGGGGAGTAGAGCTTGGGGAGGATTATCATGGAAGCAGCATCTGTTCACGACACCCCAGTGTGTACCAGAAGAGAAAACGAACCTCATAGGCTTTCAAAGACTGCGATATTTTAGAAGTGAATCACCAGGCCTTTCATTAGAAGCCACTCTTGATGCATTTTAACTGCCACACTTTCAGTAAGTCAATGCAAATCAACTCATTGCCATCGATCTAGAAGTAACTCATACCTTACCCTCCAATGCATTTTCAGAGGTTGAAAATCACCCTGAAGAGACTGCCCATCTTTCTCCCATGATGCTGCTGGTGGATTCAAACCAAGTTATGGTTGGTGTTGTTCTTAGGTGCTGTGGCATCGACTCCATATGACTCACAGAAAT